ATGCAAGAAATTTTAATTTTGGGCTATAATAATCTATAACTGACTGGTTGGCCTGGTCATTTGGGATTTTGTACGGCGGAGACATAGAGGCGCAAAAATACACCTCGATTCCGGCGCCGCAAAAATCACCCTTACCTTGGAGATGCATTTGGCATGCAAGTACCCTTGATCTTTTCGGGTCAAAACATTGAAATTGGAACTTGAATTGAAACGAAAGATTTCCAAAATGGGAATGATTGTTTCATTAAAAATATACCAATTAGAAATTACAATGATATGATACGAAAATAAAAACGATAATTCTGAAAACAATATTGTGCTATATTCTGATATACCGATTATGCCGCCATAATGCTTGTACTGAAAAAACCTTTCAAATTCTGGCGCAAAAGCCACTGTGGCAGAGTTAAATTGATACCCACTTATTATCACCATGCCCCTGCACAGCGTGCATATTTTAAAGGATTACTTGTCGCCGACAATCAATAGGATACCACCCATGCTCGATTTCACAACAGGTAAACATCCGAAGAATACAATGAGGTGAAGGCCATTCACATAGTGCAACTAGTGCTTATGCAAAATATAGACCCAATTCTTACACAGGTCGATTCAGATCCTGGTCAGATTGAAGTCGTAAAACTATATATTATTATGTCTTTCTGAATCAAACATACGGAGCTAAAATGAATCAAACAGATGCTGATAAAGGTAAGATTATTATTAATTTGAAGTAAAAGACAGGTCGAGTTTAAACGGCCTACGAGGAGCCACAATGGCTAAGCGAATAAGACGCTGGTTCGCTAGCCTGGTGGTCGCGGCCGCAGGTTCGCTCCCGGTGTTGGCCGAGAAAGTTCAATGTGATTTTCAGGCGTGGTTTCCCCTTGTCAGTGGTGCATGACAGAGGACATGACAGGGACAGCTGTCTAGTCGTTCCCTTGGTAGTTGGAATTCGATATAAGAGTAGGCCGTAACGCCGCTGGCTTGGAAGAAATTCCTTGATAGCACACTGTATTGCGGATGTCCGTCTTCATTAACCCAGACGGAGCAGAACAGTTGGACGTTAAACCCCATTTCATTTAAACAACCCACACACCACGCCCGATATAATATCAACTCGATTTTCAAGTCTTTATTACTTGATAGGACTGAGACGTGGAGGCAAAGTAGTGAATGTTAAGGCAAGGTCTAGTTAGTCACCAATACACGCACTTGTCTTAGAATTCTCCTGTATTTATTTGTTTGTTTTTTGGTTTCTGAAATCCACGGCCAAACTATTGCCCCATTTAGCTATAAGTTAAGGTGGTTATCGTCCCCTTTCTAGAACACTCGATATCACCTCACATTTGAGAAGTTATAGAACATCGTATAAACATCGTTTATAAACAGATTTTACTGCATAATTTAATTTGTCATTTTGTTATCATAAACGTCCTGGGGTAGTAAATGGTTTGTGATATTGTCATATAAAAGGCGAGTCGCGGTTGTTACAGTATTGGTTCTTTGAATGGGGTATTTGATGACAATACTGGTTTAACTTCATATGATACTTTTATTGCTCTTCAAACATATCAAGTACAAAACGTCTTATAGTTAAAGATTCCGTAATTAGTTTGTGTTGAGAGAGCCATGATCCTAGCTTGGCTTGGAACCATCGGGTACCAATTCCCAACCAACTTACATGGTCGCTCTCCGTTTTAATTAACGATCTATCAATTAGATTATGCAACTGGGTATATTTCATCATGTCAGATTAAACGTTCAGTACAGATTGCTTTACAAGACAAATGACATTACATAACACGGACCAACTATAAGTTCATATTATGGCAATGACTAATGAATGTAATCTGGACAACCATGGGTGCCAATAGCCACCATAAGGATATTTTAATCAATTCCGCTTTCATTTTGTCAAGATGGCACGAGAGCGTATCCATAACATCTGCCATTTTATAACACGGTGACTCGCTTACCATCAGGCCCCGTTCATCGGGATTTTGCGTCGTGGTTTCCTTTTGTCAGTGGTGCAGGGCGTGGGGTGGGGAGTGCGGGCAAGAGACGGCGTAAAGTCGTTCGGGTTCGACGAAACGAAAATTCGAGGTTTCGTGGTCACATTGGTGTGCACGTAAACTAAACCTTAACAGCTGGAATTGTAAATAAAAGTGGGCCTTATCGTCGCTATCCGGGCAAAATGTCCCTGTATGGCGTATGTCCGTCTTCATTAGCCCAGTCGGTGCAGAAAACACCCATTTCATTTCATTTATTATAAAAGGGGTGGTATTCTATAGTCGTATACATTTTTCAGAGGCCTTGAGGCAGAAGCGTGTATTGTGTTACCAGAAGCTTGTTACAAAATGACATGTTATGCCCCCTGCCATCTTGACATGTGAAAGTAATTTGAATATCAAATCCACCTGCCGACCCCTATAGATCTTGGTAGCATTATGTAACTTATGTAACTTTAACTTGTTGATGGCATGTCTTATCTTACTTCTTTGTCTGATAAACTATACTGAACGTTAACTGATATGAAACATGATACATTATAGCCAGATGCCTAATGAGATTCCTTTGTGTGAGGAAAGGTTTATAAACCCAGATTAAGAAACAAATAGGCAGAGAGGTCCAAGCAGGACACTGGAGCTATGTAATGTAAGTTAGTTTGGAGTTGGCACACGTGCCTAGCCAAGCCAGGACATGGCTCCCCCAATACAAGCTAGTTATGGAGTCTTTAAGTTTTGTAGTACGAGTATTGTAAATATGTTTATAGCAGAATAAAAAGTATTGTATGAACCTGAAACTAATCTTGTCATCAGAACCTGATTAAAGAACCAATACTGTCACATATTAATTGGCGCCGCTGACCAGAGCAACGTTTGAAGTCCACCACTAGAAGACCACAGGCCACAGATATTAGTCTACACGGGTAAGTCTTTTTCTAATCCTACCATGGCCGGTCAATAATGACATTGTGCTATAATGTATTATAATTTAACTGGGAAATCAGCAGTTTATCATCACGCTTTATTAAATATCATGGTGTAGTTACTTAATTTAATATAACGTTCAAGCTAGTAGTGGAACAGTCCTTAACTATTTGTAGGAAAATGACTAAAACAAAATTGTATATATATTGTTTGTTTTACAATGGGTCATGTTGTTTTTAAAAGATTATAAATTATAATTGTTTGTTTTGAACACATATTTTGGCATTTAATATTAGTATTAATAGGTTAATATCGAGATGTAAAATGTTTTGTGATTGTTTTTTAACAGTATCGTAATTTGGAATTTAACCCAATAACATTCACAAAGTATTAACGCGTTTATCTCTAAGTTTTTGGTGGTTTTTTTTGTTGTTGTTTTGTCTATATGTGTCTATTACCCCAAATATTAATGGGATGCCCCGATATTTACGGGAGAGAGTTTTTTTTGTGATACCCCTAATATTAATAATAGAATGACCCGATATGTACGGGAGAGATTTTTTATTTTTTTATTTTGTGATACCCCAAAAATATAGATTGGGAGGTCCCGATATGTTACGGGAAAAGGTTTATGTGAAACCCCAGTCAGGTGGGATTGGTTTAACCCCAGGAGAGGTTCGTGCTCAGAATTAAGAGCGAACGTATTGTCTTGTTTTGTGTTGTGTTTAAAATTTTTAGAGATAAACCGTAATTTATTTTGATAAGTTCTTTCAAAATATCTTATTGAAGATTGGTAAAATGTGTTCAGAAAAAAACAAAACAATATGACATCCTAATTTCAATTCTATCCATGTAAATAATAAAGTAAATATCGTTAGATAGCTAATTTAAGTCTGTTCCACTTGCTAATTTGATTAACTATTAATTAAGTTCACTCCATGATATGATAAACAGATGATAAAACTTGGGCACGGGTGACAATTATAATACTCTTCATAGCACATGTCATAACGCCCCGTTCCGGCCAGGTGGTATGGAAGAGATAAGACTAACGGAAAACACTGACCCCTTGATATTACGGAAAACTTATACAGTTGACCACAACGACGATGTACAGAAGAAGAACATGGATATAATTGCTCCATTACGCGTGTGACTATTATAATAATTTATATTATATATTCGCGTGTGTTACCATGAAAATAATTTATATAGATGTGATTTCGGTTATTCGCGTGTGTACAAATTAAAATAGTGTGTGTGATATATGCGATTCCAAGAACTCGTGTGTGTGAACATTAAAATTATCTGCGACATAATGTATGAACATTCTAGTATATTTTCAACCAGTGTTTTATTCTTTGCCATTTAAATTTTTATTTTTGTTTATTTAACTTTTAATCAGTATATTGTAATTTTTCGTATTTTTGTTTATATTTTAATTAGGGTAGTTATTCTCGACTCCATTTATATTTAAGTTTGTAACTGTCTTAAAATAAGTTATTTCATATAATTCATAACTTTATTGAAAAAAAAGGGAAGGTATGTTACAAAATGACATGTTATGCCCCCTGCCATCTTGACATGTGAAAGTAATTTGAATATCAAATCCACCTGCCGACCCCTATAGATCTTGGTAGCATTATGTAACTTATGTAACTTTAACTTGTTGATGGCATGTCTTATCTTACTTCTTTGTCTGATAAACTATACTGAACGTTAACTGATATGAAACATGATACATTATAGCCAGATGCCTAATGAGATTCCTTTGTGTGAGGAAAGGTTTATAAACCCAGATTAAGAAACAAATAGGCAGAGAGGTCCAAGCAGGACACTGGAGCTATGTAATGTAAGTTAGTTTGGAGTTGGCACACGTGCCTAGCCAAGCCAGGACATGGCTCCCTCAATACAAGCTAGTTATGGAGTCTTTAAGTTTTGTAGTACGAGTATTGTAAATATGTTTATAGCAGAATAAAAAGTATTGTATGAACCTGAAACTAATCTTGTCATCAGAACCTGATTAAAGAACCAATACTGTCACAAGCTGCGTTCAGTCGGTTTTCTACAGATATCTGTTATTATTGGTGCTATAGCTCTGTACTATACCAGTGCCAATCCCGCTTTACCTTATACTGCTGCCGTACCTGTCTGGATGGGTATACCGGTAAGTACGAGTTGGTTCTAGATGGGTATACTGGTAAGTACGAGTTGATTCTAGATGGATATACTGGTAGATACGAGTTGGGTCTAGATGGGCATACTGGTTGATCCGAGTTGATTCTAGGTGGGCATACTGGTAAGTACGAGTTGATTCTAGATGGGTATACTGGTAAGTACGAGTTGATTCTAGATGGGTATACTGGTAAGTACGAGTTGATTCCAGATGGGTATACTGGTAAGTACGAGTTGATTCTTGATGGGCATACCGGTAAGTACGAGTTGATCCAAGATGGGTATACTGGTAAGTACGAGATTGTTCTAGATGGGTATACTGGTAAGTACGAGATGGTTCTAGATGGACAAGTACGAGTTGGTTCTAGATGGGTATACTTGTAAGTACGAGTTGGTTCTAGATGGGTATACTTGTAAGTACGAGTTGGTTCTAGATGGGCATACTGTAAGTACGAGTTGGTTCTAGATGAGCATACTGGTAAGTACGAGTTGATTCTAGATGGGTATACTGGTAAGTACGAGATGGTTCTAGATAGGTATACTGCTAAGTACGAGTTCATTCTATATGCGTATAGTGGTAAGTACGAGTTGGTTCTAGATGTGTAAGTACGAGTTGGTTGTAGATGGGTATACTGGTAGGTACGAGTTGATTCTAGATGAGTTTGTTCTGGATACAAATATTGGTAGTAAATGTCCGAGTTTCGACTGAATTGGTACAGCGTATGCTTGGAGTGATAATCTATAATAAAGCATATGTTTTATCTGTGGGCAGTTTGTTATTATGTATGTAGTTAAGGCCACGTCACGCGAAAACAACGCCTGTGGAAATCATGGAGGCTAAACGGACATCGTTTCTTATCTGTGTTTGCTGTTCCCAAAACGTGGACAAGTTGCTTTCATTTCAGACAAATATTAAACATGCATATTCTTTGCCACATTGGGCATGACGCAAGTTGATATGTTCAACAATTAATATCCACAACATTTGTGGCCTTAATATGTTATCCACAAATTTGTCCCACCCTTATTCAATTTATAATTATAGGTAATTGTCTGTGGTATAGTAGGATTTTTAGCTGGTAAATATGGCGTTACAGAGACAGAAGTTTCTGTTAAAACTAAACGTTTGGTAAGTATTGACCTTCAGTTCTTCAATCTTTCGCCTGCAATTAAGAAGCAGGGGCCCAGTTCGGCCGGGGCTCAAATTCGCCCGGGACCCACAATCGCCAGCGGCCCAAATTCGATGACCTAAAACATTCATAGGGTCATTCTGGTTTAATCTGATACAACGTATGTGGGGGGGGGGGGGGTGGAGCGTGACAACGAACCGTGATGAGGGGACACACACACACACCCACATCTGATCCCACTTGAGGATATCGCTTTAAGAGGAAGAGACCAATGAGGAAATCAGACATTGGAGGATCTCCTCTGAATGACAAGCTTATCAATCTACCGAAAGAAAGAGATGGGGAGAAAACTGAGAAAATGTGTAAGGCCTTGGGAAAATGGAATGACGTGATTTAAAATCCACTCAATGCTGATTGTGTTATAGGAAATTTACTACATGTCTGAGAAAAGACTTGGAGAAGCCTGGAAATGAGAATTAACATTCTACTTTTCTGCACGGTATCATGGCTAACGAAAACAGACATCCACTATGTGATACCTATGATGAAAATTCTGCCCTCACAGTGCTACGACCTACTCTTATTACAATTTTCAAATGTTGGGATTTTAAATGTGCTGCAAATAGTAGGCATGGTATTCGTCCAATTAGAATTAGTCACTTTTCCTTGCTAGGCCATCAAACAAGAGGAACACCACACACCACACCACCTTTGATTTTATTTATATAGATAAATGCAACATGATGCATACTCAGCTTCCGACAAGGGGAAACCCCACCAAAAAAGCCAGAGAATTTTTCTCGGCCAACATCGGGATGGAACCTGAGGCCTCGTGGTTAGCAACTTAGCGTCTTACTCACTGAGCGACAGCAGCTCCTGCAGGAAGAGAGAAGACAACTCGGGAGTAGACCAAGTGGGATGGCCCGCACAACCGGGTAAAACAATGATGCACATTCAAGATAAGAGAATCTAGCCCAGACGGTGGTTAGGTAGGTAAGACACTGGCACGCTAGTCTGGAGGTTTCGTGTTTAATCCCTGCATTGGCCGAGAAAGTTCATCGGGATTTTTTCGACGTAGTTTCCCCGTGTCAGTGATGTAGGACGGAGGGTCTGGCAAGGACAGCTGTCTAGTCGTTCTGATGGTACGAACAACCGAGGCCCGAGGTATACATTGGCGTACACGTAAAAGACCCCTTGGCAGTTGGAATTCGATATAAGCCTAGGCCATAGTGCCGCTGCCCGGGCACAATTTCCCTCATAGCATACTGTATATGTCCGTCTTCATTAGCCCAGTTGGGGCAGAATAGTAGGACGTAAAACCCATTTCATTTCATTTTCATTTCTAAAACATCTTTCATCTTGCCCCTTTAAATTTTCCCTCTTGTTTTTCAGGTGATAAGTTATTTCGTCATTTGTTTAATTATGATCTCGGTTTGTATCCTGGGCGCTCTAGTGGAAATTTTCGGCATTGTCTTTTGTACTCGGGCAGAAACCTCGGAACTCGTCAAACCCTGTTTACCTAATAGGACCGGGAATTTAACCATGGCAGTGTTGGGAATGATCATTATGTTCGTTATGTTTTCATTTTCTATCCTGGGTTCGTGTATCTGTTGTTTTGGTCGGTCTTTGGGTTTTAAGGACAGATATGATTATGCTATGGAACTGGGGTATGAAATGGCCCAACTACAACAGTGGCAACAGCAACAGCAAGTACAAGATGGCGGCTACACAAACTGGGGTAAAAGCTAAACAGGATGGTATATAATTCGTTAACAATTGAAAGGCGAGTCATTTAAATGAAGGGTTTTAAAGGGACAATAACACTCTTGCTGGCTTGACAGCTCCAGAAAATAAAAAATAGCCTTATTCTAAGTAAATTGTGTAAATTATCCATTAAATCCTATTTTACTTGTCCAGAGAGTTCAAAAATATTTTTAAATCCAAGTCACATTTGAAAAGCTTTACGTCAGGCTTTTCAAATCATTTAGTTGAATTTTTCTAATTTTTTAAATTAGGTGTGTTAAGATCAAATTTGTATCATCAATTAATTGGAATATTGTAAAATAGTACAATTTGTTGACCAGAATAAAGATTTGAACATATTATTCAGTTACAACAAGAGTGGTATTGAACCTTAAAAATGAAATGGGTTAGGGTAACATGGTATTGGGATACTCTGCATAATAAAACAAGCACAGGAAATGCCTAGTAGCTTTACTGAGATCCGGGCCGGCTTTGGCACATTTGAACAATTTCCCCAAATTGGACCCCACGCCAGAAGGGGTCTCCGCCGCTTACCAACAATAAAACTCTAATTAAAGATACATTATGGGAGATAAGATAACAAGATGTCAGTTCTCGCTATAATAGTTAAAAACTAGATAATGTAAAGGTAATTTGCTGAAAATTTCAGTCAAATTGATCCACTATGAGCCGAGAAGGAAGCGTGTGAAATTTTGGCATAGTCTCGGTCATCATTACTAAAATCATTATTATAAACAACTTAGTCTCGATTATCCACTTTTTATGATTTAATTATCAACGGCCGTTAGCGGCATATAGGAATCTAATCCAGCCAACATCGAAGGCTAGCCTTGGCATCGAGAGTTTATTATGGTCTGGATAAGTTAATTAATGTCTAATTGATAATTTAGATAACATTCCAGGCCTAAAGAAATACTTGTAATAAGCAGATTTTGCTCTTGCATAATGCATGTTTAACTGTATACATGTATTAATCAATTACTAATTGTAAACTAAAGCATAGTTGGCCAAATATGAATATAGGCCTAGTTAAAAGGCCATTATAGGAGATTAGATAAAGAGTTGACAGTTCTCGCTATAATGTGTAAAAAATAGATAATGTAAATAGAATATGCTGAAAGTTTCAATCCAATTGTTACACTCTGACTCGAGATATTAGCTCTTGAATTTTAGGCTTGTCATAAATAATGTAAATAGAATATGCTGAAAATTTCAGTCAAATTGTTCCACTCTGAATCGAGATATTAGCTTTTGGATTTTAGGCTAGCCTCGATCATCATTACTAAAGTCGGTACGATAAAGAACAAAGTCTAGATTATCTATTTTTACGTTTAATTATTTTTCAAAAAATGTATTCCAATCCGCTAAATATAGCAGACTAGAGATGGCATCGAGAGTAGCTTATGGTCTGGATATGTTAATTAAAATCTAATTAATAATTTAGATAACATTTCAGGCCCATAGAAAGACCCGTAATAAGCAGATTTAGCTCTTACGTAATGTATGTTTAAAGTAGCTAAGTCTATAACTCTTACGTAATGTATGTTTAAAGTAGCTAAGTCTCTAACTCTTACGTAATGTATGTTTAAAGTAGCTAAGTCTCTAACTCTTACGTAATGTATGTTTAAAGTAGGTAAGTCTCTAACTCTTACGTAATGTATAGCTAAGTCTATAACTCTTACGTAATGTATAGCTAAGTCTATAACTCTTACGTAATGTATAGCTAAGTCTATAACTCTTACGTAATGTATAGCTAAGTCTCTAACTCTTACGTAATGTATGTTTAAAGTAGCTAAGTCTCTAAATCTTATAGATAAATTACAAAAAGTACAGAATACTGCTGCTAGACTTGTTACTTTAACTATGGAATGTGATCACATAATTCCTGTTTTATATAATTTACACTGGTTACCTGTTAAATATCGAATTGATTTTAAGATTTTATTACTTACAGTACTTTTAAATGTTTAAATAATTTAGCTCCTGTTTACCTCTCAGATCTTTTAGAACTTTATACACCTGGCCGAACATTACGTACATCAGATAAATTACTTTTAAAGCCCAAAACTGTTCAACTAGTCTCGTCTGGTCAGCGCTCTTTTAGTTATCAAGCACCTGTTTTATGGAATAATCTACCATTTAGTTTAAGATGTTGTACATCTCTATATTCTTTTAAAAAAACAATTTAAAACACATTTATTTAATCAGGCTTTTAATTGACTCTGTATACAATCGTTAACATGTCCATAATCTTGTTGTTTATGTATGATTTACATTGTCACTTTGTAAAGTGCCCCTGAACATGTTATATGAAAGGGCTCACTATAAATATGCTGTAATAATAATAATAATAATATCATCCAAATTTGAATCAACATTGATGTTGTGACCTTACCGGGAAAAGGTGGGCTTCTGATATCCAGTATTTAAGACAAAATAAAAATTTTACCATTGGTACACGAATCATATACCATAATGTGTATCAGCGCCATTTGTAACAAGCGACTCGAAGAACGAAGCTAGACGTATTCCACAGGTCATGTCAAACGGTAAAGCCATATTCGTATCTGGAGAGCATGCGCAATAAATAGTATCTTTGTAGACTGGAATAACCAGACGCTAGAGATTGCAATTCGATTGAGACTTCTGGCGTATTTCGCAAACATAACTGATTTGAAATTAGAGTAAAAACGAAAACGATTGAATGTAAATCAGTTTATATATATATACATTCATATTACATTATTATATGCGTTGCGACAATTTGTCTCAATTTCTAAGTTCCAAATCTTAGCGATTTAGCTCTTTTGAATTTATTAATATCCTGCAATGTATTCATATCCGGAAAATTCGGGTTTCTCAAATTAGCCCTGACTGAAATATAGTTACGAGGTAATGGTAAATCATCAACAAAATTAATAACCTCTTCCTTTCGTTTGCTTGATAAATTATAGAGAATCTCAAAACCGAACTTTTTAATCAATTATACAACTGATTGAATACGGTTCTAGCTGTGTTTGTGTCAGACTTTTACCATGTGTACTAAATAATGTTCTCCATTTTTTGTTTATGTCTTTTTTATGGAGAGCAGCTCACTGAGTTGAATTGTTGGCGCTATATAAATCAATTATTATTATTATTATTGTTTTCATGTACATAATGTTCCAGAAATTTATATAATTGTATCATTTGCTTGACGGAAACTAGGTACGTCGTTGGACAATAAACAGTTATGTCCGGTGTAAATTTATAGATAATGTTGTTATGAACTGGGGTTTAACGTCCTACTTCGACTGGGCTAATGAAGACGGCCAAGGGCCTCTTTCCTGCATCACTGACAAGTGGGAACCACATCGGAAAATTCCGATGAACTTTCTCGGGAAAGTGAAAGTATTGAACAACAGGTGAGCGAGCCAACGTCATACCCGCTGAGTCACCGTGACTCCCAGAGAATGTGGTATGCCCAGACATGAGATGCTCATAGAACAGCATAACTTTGTTGGGTTTTTTTGTTTTTTTTCGTAGGAAGCCGTAGTGGCACAGTAACTAAGGCTCTGTCACGTTATCCATGAGGTTTCGAATTAGCTGCCGGTGTTGACCCAGGAAAATCCTCTAGATTTTCATACGGGGTTTCCCATTGTCGGTGCTGCAGGGCGGTGGGCCTCGTAAGGACGGAATAAGAGTAGGTCGTAGCGGCTGTGTCCGGGCAAAACTTCTCTCAATCAAAGCACCCGTCTTCATTATCCTTGTTAGTGCAGATAGATATAGGATGTTAAACCCCATTTCATTTCATTTCATGTCATTTGTTTTTCTTGTAAATAAATGTATTTCCATCTTACATATCAGAACATATAACTTATCTCAATAATAAGGTATAATAAAATTTACTTTTTTAAAACAGTTTTCATTATTTTTGGATTTATATATCTTTGTATAATTTTTGGTGACGTTAAGGATGATACGTACATTATTAAAAAATATGTAAGCCAACTGTGCAGATTTACCCCAAACTGTCTTATGCCCGTTTTGTAATACTATAGGGTTATTTTAGTTCTAAGAAAGGTGTTCTGTTTAATATAGAAATTCGTTACCTACATGATGTGTGACGAAAACTAGGTTAATTAAGTAGCTTGCATTATTCTTACCGATAGTTATGTCAGTATCCATTGCTGGAAGTAGGGTACTATAGTCCAGTCATCTCATGCACGGATTAGTACAATTAACTAACGCATTATACTTTCTATGTAGGAGAGGGCTTGTTTGATTTACCCTCAGATATCATGAGACCGTAGGAAAGATATAATTCGTGAGTTCCTGGGAAACGTCATACCCACAGCCGCCTCGGCTGAGAGGCTGGAATAGAGACAAAATATGATGTTTAAGCTGTTTGATTTGAGTTATTAAGGATGTTAAACTCAGACCGTGGATAGTTTAATAACTCCTAAAGTATCTATAATAGATGTTGTAGTTTTCCTGTATTTAACCATTGCAGTTTGCTGTATTTGTTATATAAACTTAGTAACAAAATAAACAGTGTTCCAGACTTAATTGATCATTGGAAATAGTCATTGACGATTATGTCTCAGCTAATTCATTATTTGGTACCGCGACACAGGATGGATAGTATCACAGCCTATCTCTTATTTGGAGTCCCTGACCAAGTTAGTCACATCTAAAAGTAGTGTCACAGTTTTCAATGTACCGGTACGTGGTTTCGTGACCTTTTGTTGCTGTCGGTTACAATAGAAACGATCCCATTACCGACCTTAAGTAAAGTAGAATAGTTATGTTTGATTCTATCTATTATTTTCATTTTAAAAACCATAATTACCAAGCATTTTGAAAAGAATTGCTGAAAATAACACAATGTCCCCTACTAGCCTCAACTAATTTTACAATGCAGGCATGTACAATTATAACTCACTGATGGCATAAATTGTTGCCTGCCTCACAACTGTACCCAGGGGCCACGGCGGAAAGGCGCTGGATCGCTAACCGGAGTGGAGGACCGGGGGCCTGATAATATACGCTGTCTAGTCGTTTGAGTGGGACGTTGGCGTGCACAGAAAAGGAAATGGAATGAAATGAAATGGGGTTTAATCTCCTACTGTTTTGCTTTGACTGGGCTAATGGAGACGGTCATACGCCATACAGTGTGCTATGAGGAAACTTTTGCCCGGGCAGCGACACTGAGGCCTACTCTTATATCGAGTTCCATCTGCCGGGGGATCTTTTACGTGCACGCATATATATACACGAGTCCTCGATTTTTCGTCCCATCCTGCACCACTGACAAGGGGAAACCACGTCTGAAAGTCCCGATGTACTTTCTCGGCCAATATGCAGGGATCGAACACGCGACCTCCAGGTCAATGAGCCAGCGTCTTACCCACTTAGCCACCGTGGCTCCCAGGGTCTGTAATGATACGGGCTTTACACAAAATGAACAACAAAACAATGATTTACAAGAAAAGCAATAGAAATAAAGTAGCACCATGGGCCTTTCTGTCAGACGTTGAGAGCGGCGGTCAACAATAAAAACCGATCGCCACATCCTACGTATGACCCATGCATCTTAATAGCCTTGTGATCGTCTAGTATTTTCACTTGTCGTCTTTGCTCCCCCTTCACGTTTGTCTTCTCAGTAGTTAAGACGTTTGTCTTACCAGGAATAACAATGCAACAGTTCGTTTTTACATTTTATATATCATAGTTGGATACATAGATACAAGCATAGTAGATTACAATACTAAAGTCGTTCTCTCATACCCCATCCAGCCCGACATGCTGGGGCTACATCTTTTCCCTTCTGGAATCAAGCTGCTGTCTGACGATTGCCGAAAGGAATGATAGTTTTGTAGCTTTGGATTTGGACGTTCAATTATCTAATTGGTCAAATATGACGTAAACAGTTGTAGAGATTGGTTACTCAAGCTACATGATGCAATTAGTAAATTTCCAATCACTTGGTAAACATGATATTTTCATTCCCACGGAACCAACTAATATTTACCAAATTATAACACTTTCTTATATACCAATCCGTCACTCATTCTTGAGTGCATTAGATATGACTTATTAGCCAAGATATTAATTAATATCTTGCTACTAACTAAAAGAGCAAAAGTTCTAGCCATAAGCTTACAATAATGCCACCGGTCTTGACAATAACTGACTCCTGAATGACGATCGTCTGCCAGTTAACGTCACGACTTAGAAAGTCAAAATATTAACAATGAGGGTGGTTATCAGAATATAGTTTCGGAAAAGGCTAAGAATTAAAGGGACCATCCCGATTTTAGAGAGAGAAAGAGAAAGAGAGAGGGGGGGGGGGGGGTAACGTCCACTCGACACAAACTAGGTCATTTCGGGACTAACACATGTTTCAATTTTATTTCAAAAAATTCGCTTGCGCGTAGGGGTCTTTAGCAGTGGGAGGAAACCGGAGGACCCGGAGAAAACCCACGAGGTTGGACAGGCGACCCTACTCCTTGTCACGTACAAACGGAGAATCCAGTTACAAGGGACGTCCATATGTTATAGAAGAGGATATCGTTAACCACATCTCAGTTACAAGGGACCTCCATGTTTTATAGAAGAGGATATCGTTATAACCACATCTCTCATTGTATCGTGTAAGATGTAAAACTTTAGATTATCATCGCGGTTACAAGAGATGTTCTGGGTAGAAAATGTAAGAATTTAAATTATCAGAGTAATGTACTGTGATAAAACCCTGTTTTAACTGATTTCACATATGGAAGTATGTAATCGATTGCTTGTAAGGTTCTACTACGTACCGTATTATAAGAATGGACATAGGCATAGGGGAGCAGTCTCAGTTGTGTGTGTGTGTGGGGGGGGGGGGGCTGAGTATATTAGCCCGAAAATTTTCTTTGTCGCCCGAATTTTCAGAATGAATCAGACATTAACTAAAACGAATTTTCCACAAAGCTGTGATGGTTGTTTATTTTTAATTAATTACACAATTACCCAACAATATAAATTTATAATATGTTAATTAAAAACAACTTAATGTTCCCCATTCTCTGGGGAAATACATTGCCTGAAAAATGGACGGTGCACCCCAAAATTCCAAGCATCGCCAACAGAATATCAACAAGAACACCAAAGCACCTCCACCAGAATACCAACATTATTACATTGGTTCCAATGGAAGCTCAGATAAATATCGAGATTCTAACATTTGTGTTTTTGTGCCAACACGTTCTTTCCCCATCTCCTTTCCCCACAAAATATGCCCTCTTTGGTTGTGTCACAAAATGGTGACTGCGTAACTCGTGGGAAAAATAATGTACAGAGATCGCATTTAATTGGACAATTCAATTGACAAGAATAAAATAACCATATAAATGTGTAGATAAAGGCTATAAAATGAAATTACACATTATATTTTAAAGGGACTATACCGATTTGTACGGAGTCTCGAAACTAAAAGTCTGGGTATGTACGAAATTTAAGCGCCAAAATATAGAGGAATGGTGTATTTACCTTGTCTGAAAATTTCAGCTCAAAATATTGAGTCATATGGACGTGAACGTCAAAACTGCTTATCCGGACACATTATGTTTATAAAATAAAGTCTGGTTTTATCCAGACACCGCATAATACAGCTTGGGACACCGGACTCCATTTCCAGATGAAGACTGATGGGTTTAAAGGCTCAATACCACTCTTGTTGTAACTGAATAATATGTCCCAATCTAAATTCTGGCCAACAAATTGCACTATTTTACAATATTCCAATTAATTGATGATACAAATTTCATCTTAACACACCTAATTTTAAAAATTGGAAAAATTCAACTAAATGATTTGAAAAGCCTGATGTAAAGCTTTTCAAATGTAACTTGGATTTAAAAATATTTTTGAACCCTCTGGACAAGTAAAATAGGATTTAATGGATAATTTACACAACAGGTAGGATACTAACACATCTTTTACTTAGAATAAGGCTATTTTTTATTTTTTGGAGCTGTCAAGCCAGCAAGAGTGTTATTGTCCCTTTAAGTTGTTTGAAAGCGTATCACATATATTGAGTTAATTGCTCGGCCCTAAGGTAGAAGATTGTAGGGGATTTTAACACAAAATTAAGCAGTTTTATTTTCCGAAATATTATCGGGATTGGCCCTTTAAACGTTACATTTTGTACATATACGAAAATGTTAGTACAACCGTAAAGCTACACTACCTTGTTTCACGGTAAACGATGACAAAATAAAAGGTATGTCGTCACAAACTGATTTCAACACTGGTTTAATAACATTTTAAAGTTCTTTTCGTCCGTCTTGGGACTATTTATAAATAATTTCATTGTCATATACGTGTATATAAAAGAGCAAGTATTTAGGAAACGGAACGGCTGGATTTGTGTTTTTATTCAGTGAATTTTAACAGAATAATTATGTTAATGCTGATTAAAATACAACTGACAACAACAGCAGGTACGGTATACCTACTAAAGGTTTGTGAGTGTGTGTCGGGGGGGGGGGCTGTCTCTCTCCCTATACCTACTCGGGGTCATTTAAAAATCCGTGGTGGGGATTTACAACAAAACAAGAACAAGAGGTGTTATAATCCACACAATATAATCATATAAGTCCATTCGTATCAGATATTCGTGTACAAGCCAAAATGCTAGTCGAAAATAAGAAATTAGGAAAAAACGAGGGGTGCTATTATCGCTGTGTGTTATTTCTTAATTTCCTATTTTCGAGTTGATTTTGGCTTGTATAGCGTGTTATCGCCTCACATTTTGTCGTAACGTCTACTTTTCGACTTTCGCGTTCTGAAGAGGCGAAAAGTAGAAATTATGAATGGTAGTTATAGGCTTCCATAGGTCTTGTCAATATGTCCCTCGTATAATCATTAATTTTTAAACCGGCTGGCGCAGAAAGGTAATACGTTTATCACACTCGAACAATAGCCTCCACATATGCAACTGGTGGTAGTTATTTGTTTCTTTGATGTGCTTACGGGTTATATATCATATCAACCTGTCGGGCGCCACGGTGACTAAGTGGGTCGCTAGCCCCGTAGGTCGGGTGTCCGATGCCTGCATTGGCCGAGAAAGTTCATCCTGATTTTCCGGCGTGGTTCTCTCTTGTCAGTGATGTTGGACGGAGGACGTGACAAGGACAACTGTCTAGTCGTTCGGATGGGACGAAAAACAGAGATCCCGTGTACACATTGGCGTGCACGTAAAAGATCACTTGGCAATTGGAATTTGATACAAAAGTAGGCCGTAGCGCCGCTGCCCGGGCAAAATTCCGCTCATAGCACACTCTATAGCGTATGCCCGTCTTCATTAGCCCAGTTCGGAGCAGAACAGTAGAACGTTAAACCCCATTTCATTTTATATCAATCTGCCATGATGTCATCATAGGTTGATATATTCGGTTCATATCAACCTCTGATGACGCTGATGTAATATTACAAAGAACACAGAAATCACTTTTTTATGCTCTTGTCGATTACAAATGTTTATGGTACAGTTAGCTGCATTCACCACCAAAATGTCAAATCATTTTTGTTCTTGTGTGTTCTCTGATACCCGGAAGATAAGCACACAGTAATCATAGGTTACAAGAGGGGTGGGGGTAGATGGCTGAATGGCTAGCGCGTGTGCGTTGTATCATAAGGTCTGGCATTGAGTCAACTGGCGTGGTGTCGATTCCCTAGTTGTACGTGACAAGGTGTAGGGTCACCTTTCCAACCTCGTGGGTTTTCTCCGGGTCCCCCCCCCCCACACACTGCTTAAGACCCCTACGCGCAAGCGAATTATTGAAATAAAATTGAACCATATGTTAGTCCCGAAATGACCTAGTTTGTGTCGAGGGGACGTTAACCGCCATCTCTCTCTCTCTCTCTCTCTCTCTCTCTCTTGATATAAAAGTAGGCCGTAGTGCCGCTGTCCGGGCAAAATTACACAGATAGCATACTGTATGGCGAATGCACGTCTTCATTAGCCCAGCCGGAGTAAAAACCCTATTTCATTTATGTACTGCCAAGCTATCCTACTTATAAGTCAATTAAATGAAAAACACAGTTTACTTGACAAATGGACGACGATGATATGAAATTTATAAGAAAAAAATAATAATTTTGATTCCATTCCCTATGACGAAATACATTCTGTCTCATTATTCGTTATTCAAAATTTGAATACCGAATAACGAATCAGGTTCTGTTTCGTTATTCGTTATTTACACTGTTAAAAATGGGTGTAATTAAAAACTAAGTGTAAACTTTAAACCACAAGCTAACCAACTAAAAGAGCTACAGCTAACAAGTGTAACCGATATTCATGACTACTGAACACAGGTGTAATTGTGGGGTGTTTGGGTTAGCTACAACACTACCAGTGTTATAGTGCATTTATACCAAAGCGTTAACTAGTATTGTGGAATAAATCATAGAACAGCGTTTATTTGGTTACAAAAGTGTAATCGATATTCATGAGTACTGAACACCAGGATAGTTGTAATTGTAACTGGTGTAAACTACCTTATTATTTTTATCTGTGTAGCAAAAACGAACAACGAAACACGGTTTAACTTCACGCTGCCGCGATTCGCCATCCAGTATGTTGACTCATAGGCGGTAATATCTTTTGATCGATAATATGTGATAAAGTAACTTCTACGTTTTATTTTCTAAAAACGTTTTAATCCGACAGGATATTCATTTTCACGGGAATAATTGGATCTTTACTGATCACCGTCAAGGTTTCCATTTACAGGTATACCATTTAAATTTAATTTTCATCTCTAGCCTACCGTCTTCAGTAAATAATCCACAACCAAGACCAGGAAAAACCTATTATTTTGTCAACTCCAAAAAACATAGCTTCTGGCCGGGTTTGGTGAAATAAAATGAAATGAAATGGGGTTTAACGTCCTACTGTTCTGCTCCTATGCTGGGCTAATGAAGACGGGCATACACCATACAGTGTGCTATAAGCGAAATTTTGCCCGGGCAGCGGCACTATCGCCTACTTTTATATCGAATTCCAACTGCCAATGGATCTTTTACGTGCATTCCAATGTATACATGGGACCTCGGTTTTTCGTCTCATCCGAAGGACTAGACAGCTGTCCTTGTCAGGTCCTCCGTCCTGCATCACTGACAAGGGGGAACCACGCCGGAGAATCTGGATGATCTTTCTCGGCCAATGCAGGGATCGAACACCCGACCTCCAGGCTAGCGAGCCAGCGTCTTACCCACTTAGCCACGTGATCCCCGCCAGGTTTGGTAATTGACGAGGTTATTAGATTGCATGGGGATTAACGTCCTACTTTGCCGTACCAGCCGATCGAATGAAAACGGGCATATTATATATGCCAGTCAGTGTGGTATGAGATAAATTTTGTCTGGACAGGTGCACGTCCTCGACAATAATATTTGTGACTGTCGTTTGTTTGTCTGTTCAATGCTAGCTCGGACCGGGGAGTAACATAGGGCTGTTGGTGATGGCTTACCACTTCCGGCTTCGGAGTTCTACCACTTCCGGCTCATGGCTGTAAGCATACTAATCCTACTGATTAATAGAATGTCTAGCATTGTACATTTCTCAATAATTGTATAGGATAGCCTTTGGGAAACTGTCTCGCTAGGCCGAGGAATGGGTTGGTGGGGGGAATGGAGGCCCAAATTGTATTTTTTGTCACAAAGTCATATAGGTTTGATCATCTTATACATTAGTAAAACATTAATTTCTTGCACAGTGCATCTCTAAAAACATGTGTATAGTGTGAAGTTGGACACTTGTGTTGCTTTTATGTTGGGGGTGGTAGTGGGGGTTTGGGGCTGTGTGTCTGGTTAAGGGGCAGGATCATTCTGTACATTAAAATAGTAGTGTGTACTGGATATCCCTGGGCCCTTATTCACGAAAACTTAAACTAAGATACAATCAAAATTTTAAGAAATACTGCAATTCGATTGGCTGACCAGTAAAATCAATTTGCATATATCCAATTTGCATATTGGTCAGCCAATCGAATAAGGGCCCTGGACAACTGTGGTGTGTACTGGATATCCCAGGACAACTGTGGTGTGTACTGGATATCCCTGGACAACTTTAGTGTGTACTGGATATCCCAGGACAACCGTTTTCCAATGTGGTGGCGTGTAGAGAGATTGATTTAACGTCCACTCGACACAAACTAGGTCATTTTGGGACTAACAATTTTATTTCATTTCTTCGGTTGCGCGTAGGTGTCTTTAGCAGTGGGAGAAAACCCACGAGGTTTGAGGGCGTGCCTACTCCTTGTCACGCACATGAGGGGAATCGAAAGCACACCACTTGAATCAATGGCAGACCTTATGATACAACGCGCACGCGCTAATCATTCGGTCACCCCAACCCCGATGTGTTAATGTAACATGCAACCATTCGCCCCACCCCCACTCCCCACCTGGTATATCGAGGCCAGGAAATCATTAGTAAAACTATCGCTGAGTACAAGCGTTCAAAGATTTCTTTTCTCTTGCGACTATATCACAACCTTTGCTAGAATCAAAATCTTGAATCGGCAATAAAAAAACAGATTGTATTGAATCCTTTTTATCAAGGGATTTGTTTAAAATAACGAATTTAGTCAATTCTCTTGAATTCAATTAAATGTGACTGAATGAATTCTTTGGTCATCAAATATATTACACAGTTAGAGAGAAAATATAACACAATAATACAATATAATAGCCGGATTTGCCTACTTGACGAAATCAATCAATGAAGTGACAAACTTACCCGGGGTTCACTTGAAGCAAGGTTATCTCCTCTGTAGGAGGCGCGGTGGCTCAGTGAGTAAGACAATGGCTCACTAACCTATAGGTCCCGTGTTCGATCCCGGTGTTTTAGATCCCTTTCAGTTTTGGGGAGAGAGACAGAGAGGGTAACATTCACTCGACACAAAAGTAGACTTTTTAAATTGGCCTCAACAGACATCCATAATTATCCCTAATACTTGTGCTGATAATCATTTATTTGACCAGTCACTGGAATAATTGTGTTTTGTTCCCTTTTTAGATATGAAGCCCAACATTACCCTATTTATCTGTCTAATGATCATCACAGGACTTTCGGTTTTAACAGTAATTCATAGAGCACCCGTCTTTCAGCACCTTTACACATATGGAAGTAGATTCTTCGATGTCGATACAAACATGTCACTGCACAGGGACCTTTTAACTAAGAATATGGCAACGCAGGCGCGTCCTGTAATAAAAATATCACCGAAAACAACAAGAAAAGCAACCACTGCCACCGCAACTACAAATTCAAATATTGCATCAGAAGATACAAATACTGTAGCTTACACGGATATCTCTTTAATCAATTCCCCTAGTTGGTATTTAAATAGAATTCGACTTGAAAATGTATTTATAAACTGTGAAATAAAAACTTGCCGTGTGAGAAATGGTTGGGATTACTTCAACACCAGTGATGCAGTGGTGTTTTATGCGGTAGATTTACCATTGAAAACGCCACCCAAACGCATTAATCGGCACCAAATTTGGGTAGTTTCTGGATGGGAATCTCCGCACCACACCAGATGTCACGTGTTTTCAAACCCGGAGTGGAGAAATCAAATCAACTGGACCATGACATATCGATTAGATTCCGATATTCCCGTGCCTTACGGAATAGTGAAAAAAACTGAGAATAAATTCAATAAAAATTATAGTGCAATTATGAAAAGTAAAAAGAAAATGGTAGCTTGGGTCGTAAGTAACTGTCGGACACCAGCAAAACGTTGGAAGTACGTAGAACAACTGAAGGAAATAGTTCCAGTGGATGTGTTTGGAAAGTGTGTTTCGGCCACCCCTACAGATATTTTCGAAATGATAAACAAGACCTACAAATTCTATCTCGCATTCGAAAATTCACTATGCAAAGACTATATTACGGAAAAGTTTTTTAGAAGGCAAAATTTAGACGTTGTACTGATAACCAGAGGTATTGGGAACTATACCAAGTTTTATCCACAAGAATCTTTCATAAACTCCAACAACTTTAAAAACGCCCACGAACTGGGAACATTTCTTCTGAAATTAGATAAGAACAACACTGCTTATGTGAATTATTTAAAATCGAAAGAGAATTATAGATCGGAAGGTTTGGGTCCATCCACCATTAAGGGACTGTGTGATATGTGTAAAATGTTACAAGATAAAACGATCCATCGGAATGTTTACATGGATTTTAATAAGTGGTGGTGGAATAGTGATTGTAATACCAAACCAACAGACATTATTTTATAAAATCGCCCAAGAGCTGTGATTCTTCTACCTTTCCATCTTCATTAGCCCAGTCGGTGCAGAAAAGTGGTACTTGAAACTCCATTTCATTTCCCCTTTATTTGGATTCTATGTTTATGTGAACGTCAATAAAACGAATTAAGAGTTCGCAAATCATATATAGTTCCCTTAACAATTGGTAAATATTACTTAACGACAGTCACGACTGAAATTAATGATATTTGGCCTCTCAAACGGAACAATCAACATACCTTATATGTGATCTTACATACGATCTCGTGTTATGTTATAAATATTCACCTCTTGCTAAGCTTATAATTAAAACGTTGCTAATTGTCGGTTGCATAGAACAAAACCCTGGCCCGTTAAATACATTAAGTTCAGGTAACATTTCCAATGTTAACAATACTGTCTGTAGCCTATTGCCAAAATTAGATTGAAGCTGCATTATCTAACCATGATATAATATGTATTACTGAATCTCATCCAGTAGACGTGGTGCAAGGGTTAATCAGCGAACTGGATGTATGAGATGTGTTGTTGACGTTTGGGAAAGTAGGACGAGGGGAAATGTGTAGGGAGTGCTGTAAAGGGATAGTTAGATGTATTATGAATGGTTAGAGTGGCTGTGGTGTTACGGTGAAATACTATGCCGCCACCGTAACACCACAGCTTTATGATTTGTTAGACAAGAGTGATGTAATGGGTGTCAACAACTGGGTATGCTGGTACCGTCGCAACGTAGCCGTGAAATATATATTGTGGGGGGGTGGGAAGGGCGGAAACGGAAAAATATACAATGTTGACAGTATGTGCCAGGCATGAGGCTGCGCAGACCGAGCGGCAGCTCGATAGGGAGTGTGTGGGAGGGTCACCCTCATAAAAATTTTTTTTTTAAATTTCAGTTTTCTGTAAGCAGTGAAAACACTATTTTGGCATTGTTTGCGGGGTTAAACCTAAAAATCACATTAATACACCTATTGCACGATATTGTGAAACTAGCTGACGAAGACAGCTCGGGCGGCGATTGTTCGACTCGGGGCTGCTCTGTCAGTATCTAACAAACGCATTTAGTTGGCGTACAACTTTTAAAAACCGAATGTCAGTATGGTATTTCTCACATAATTGGTTATCGCAAAAACAGAGTAAACTGAAAGCGAGTAATCTCGTCACTTGGCTTCCTATATTATTGTTTGTGGACGGTTTACTACTCAGTGATAAGCCTGCGCCGCAAAAAGAGGTCTCGCCTTTTATTATTAGTATAATGACTTCCTCATGTGCGGCAGGTTAGTTTGCTTCTAAAAACACTGTTTTCCGTTCCAAAAAAATACAAAAGTAATTTTCTACCAGATGACCATGGTTCTTTTCACCGAGACTAGATAATTTCTCTCGGTGTAAGGATATAGCTATGGATAAGTTCATACAAGGTCAATAAATCCGCGGTCACTTCGGGTCACACTGTTGAGAAAATAAACCGATGGGTTTGTTTAGTAGCAAATCGAGCGTGAATCAACTAAGTTTGTACTGAAAATTTTTTGAGTGATATGTATGAACTGTCTTCACACATTCGGTTTATAATAAGCGATACACAGGTACAGTGGCAAGTGTTGTACTTCACAGACTGTTTACCTCCGAACTACCTCCGAACGAAATTCCCGATTTGGGTACTTGTTAAAAGAAAAAGAAATAGTACCTGTGCGCATGCCAGTAAAAAAAACCCTAAGAGTTCGCGCATAAAAATGCCCGAACGTACCAAGCGCCAGGTCATCCAGTAGACGTGGTACAAGGGTTAATCAGCGAACTGGATGTATGAGATGTGTTGTTGACGTTTGGGAAAGTAGGACGAGGGGAAATGTGTAGGGAGTGCTGTAAAGGGATAGTTAGATGTATTATGAATGGTTAGAGTGGCTGTGGTGTTACGGTGAAATACTATGCCGCCACCGTAACACCACAGCTTTATGATTTGTTAGACAGGAGTGATGTAATGGGTGTCAACAACTGGGTATGCTGGTACCGTCGCAACGTAGCCGTGAAATATATATTGTGGGGGGGAAGGGCGGAAACGGAAAAATATCCAATGTTGACAGTATGTGCCAGGCATGAGGCTGCGCAGACCGAGCGGCAGCTCGATAGGGACTGTGTGGGAGGGTCACCCTCATAAAAAAATTTTTTTTTAAATTTCAGTTTTCTGTAAGCAGTGAAAACACTATTTTGGCATTGTTTGCGGGGTTAAACCTAAAAATCACATTAATACACCTATTGCACGATATTGTGAAACTAGCTGACGAAGACAGCTCGGGCGGCGATTGTTCGACTCGGGGCTGCTCTGTCAGTATCTAACAAACGCATTTAGTTCGCGTACAACTTTTAAAAACCGAATGTCAGTATGGTATTTCTCACATAATTGGTTATCGCAAAAACAGAGTAAACTAAAAGCCAGTAATCTCGACTCAAACCTATAGTCTATAGCCCACTTACTACACTGTCACTAGGCTTCCTATATTACAGTTGATGCATGGATTGAACAAGAGAAAGCAGAATCCAACTTTATCATAGGGCAACATTTAACAAATTAAATATAGTAATTATCAAATTGTTAACATTAATTCTAACTCTCATCACTTTCACTTTATCATATATATAACAGCATAATATACTGTTTAAATATAATGGTCGTACACAACTCTTTGGATTATTTTTTTGCAAAATAAAGTCTGATTTCTGAAATAGATATTATAGGTAAAATTAATTATATTTATGATATGTTCGTTAAAAAAGTATTAACATTAGTGTTACTTTGCTCTTATTTTTTTAACAAATTTTCACAAGTTGATTTCCTTTATTTTGTTAATGTAGAATGGTAATGAACTGCTCTTTTCATTTCCTTTGTTTTATTTGTTTCGTTTGAATTTGATTTATCAGTTTAGTTTTTGATTGTTTAATTTTTGTTAATGAAGTTGATTTTATTTTTGAACTCTACTTGGTGTAGGTGTTCATCAGGTAATACCTTGACTGAGTTCAATATAGAGATTAGCCGGTTGATTTGTTGGATATAAACCTTTGAATAATAGCGCCTAACAGGCAGCTGTGTTTAATTATGTTCTCCTGATTTTGATTGTTTTTGTGTGTTTTAAGTATATGTTTGTGATATGCGCTTAGAAACACTTCACGTGTAATGAAGCGCTATATAAATCGAACAATAATAATAATAATAATAATTGTTTGTGGACGGTTTACTACTCAGTGATAAGCCTGCGCCGCAAAAAGAGGTCTCTCCTTTTATTATTAGTATAATGACTTCCTCATGTGCGGCAGGTTAGTTTGCTTCTAAAAACACTGTTTTCCGTTCCAAAAAATACAAAAGTAATTTTCTACCAGATGACCATGGTTCTGTTCACCGAGACTACATAATTTCTCTCGGTGTAAGGATATAGCTATGGATAAGTTCATACAAGGTCAATAAATCCGCGGTCACTTCGGGTCACACTGTTGAGAAAATAAACCGATGGGTTTGTTTAGTAGCAAATCGAGCGTGAATCAACTGAGTTTGTACTGAAAAATTTTTGAGTGATATGTATGAACTGTCTTCACACATTCGGTTTATAATTAGCGATACACAGGTACAGTGGCAAACGTTGTACTTCACAGACTGTTTACCTCCGAACTACCTCCGCACGAAATCCCCGATTTGGGTACTTGTTAAAAGAAAAAAAAATAGTACCTGTGCGCGTGCCAGTAAAAAAAACCCTAAGAGTTCGCGCATAAAAATGCCCGAACGTACCAGGCCATCAGGTCATCTAGACAACACTATTAAAGATTCATCGATTTTACTGCCCGGTTATAAAAGTCCAGTAGACGTGGTACAAGGGTTAATCAGCGAACTGGATGTATGAGATGTGTTGTTGACGTTTGGGAGGAAAGTAGGACGAGGGGAAATGTGTAGGGAGTGAAGTGCTGTAAAGGGATAGTTAGATGTATTATGAATGGTTAGAGTGGCTGTGGTGTTACGGTGAAATACTATGCCGCCACCGTAACACCACAGCTTTATGATTTGTTAGACAGGAGTGATGTAATGGGTGTCAACAACTGGGTGTGCTGGTACCGTCGCAACGTAGCCGTGAAATATATATTGTGGGGGGGGGGGCGGAAACAGAAAAAATATACAATGTTGACAGTTTGTGCCAGGCATGAGGCTGCGCAGACCGAGCGGCAGCTCGATAGGGAGTGTGTCAGTTTTCTGTAAGCAGTGAAAACACTATTTTGGCATTGTTTGCGGGGTTAAACCTAAAAATCACATTAATAAACCTATTGCACGATATTGTGAAACTAGCTGACGAAGACAGCTCGGGCGGCGATTGTTCGTCTCGGGGCTGCTCTGTCAGTATCTAACAAACGCATTTAGTTGGCGTACAACTTTTAAAAACCGAATGTCAGTATGGTATTTCTCACATAATTGGTTATCGCAAAAACAGAGTAAACTCGCCACCGTAACACCACAGCTTTATGATTTGTTAGACAGGAGTGATGTAATGGGTGTCAACAACTGGGTATGCTGGTACCGTCGCAACGTAGCCGTGAAATATATATTGTGGGGGGGGAAGGGCGGAAACGGAAAAATATACAATGTTGACAGTATGTGCCAGGCATGAGGCTGCGCAGACCGAGCGGCAGCTCGATAGGGAGTGTGTGGGAGGGTCACCCTCATAAAAAATTTTTTT